TGTGTGTGCATGTGCTGTGTGCACGTGTGTGCTGTGTATGAGTATGTGCTGTGCATGTGCGCATGTGCTGTGTGTGTGCATGTGCTGTGTGCTGTATGCGCACATGTGCTATGTCTGCATGTGTTGTGTGTACGCATGTGCTGTGTGTGCATGTGCTCTGTATGTGCTGTTTCTGTGCATGTGCTGTGTGAACGTGAGCATGTGCTATGTGTGCATATATGCTGTGTGTTTGCATGTGCTGTGTGTATGCTATGTGTGTGCACATGTGCTGTGTGCGCGTGCACATGTGCTGTGTATGTGCTGTGTGCGTGCATGTGCTGTGTGTATGCACATGTGCTGTGCGTGTGTGTGTGTGCACTCATCATGTAGGCCAGCAGGCGGGGTGGTGGTGCCTGGGTGGGGCAGGTGCACAGGTCTACGAGTGGGGAGACCTTGCTGCTTAAATGCAGTCCTGCATGGATGCAGAGAGTCAAGACCACAGCAGGTGGCAGGGGACCTCAGCCAGGCCCCTCCACGGCCACCTTGGGAATCCAAGGGGGATTCCGACTGCTCGGTCTGGCTTCTTCTGACACAATTTGGTACCAAGTGCTTACGCATATTCTAACACACAAGATTTTTTAAAAAACAAAAAAGTAACTACACTGGCCAGGTGCAGGGGCTCACGCCTGTAATCCCACTACCTTGGGGAGGCCAAAGTGGGAGGATCACTTGAGTCCGTGAGTTCAAGACCAGCGTGGGCGACAAAACAATAAAAGTTAGCAAGGCGAGGTGGCACGTGCCTGTATCCCAGCTACTTGGGAGGCTGAGGTGGGAGGACTGCTTAAGCCTGGCAGGCAGAGGCTGCAGTGAGCCAGGATTGTGACACTGCACTCCACCCTTTTTTTTTTTTTTTTGGAGACGCTCTTTAAAAAAAAAAAAAAAAGTAAGTAAACCATACGGTGTGCAGATTTCTTTCTTTTTTTTCCTGCAGCCACAGATTTCCAGGCTCAAGCAATTTTCTCTTCTCAGTCTCCCAAGCAGCTGGGACTACAGGCCTGCATCACCATGCCTGGTTAATTTTTACTTATTTTACTTTTTTTTTTTTTTTTTGAGACGGAGTCTCACTCTGTTGCCCAGGTTGGAGGGCAGTGGCGTGATCTCTGCTCACTGCAACCTCTGCCTCCCGGGTTCACGCCATTCTCCTGCCTCAGCCTCCAGAATAGCTGGGACTACAGGCACCTGCCACCATGCCTGGCTAATTTTTTGTGTTTTTAGTAGAAATGGGGTTTCACCGTGTTAGCCAGGATGGTCTCGATCTCCTGACCTCATGATCTGCCCGCCTCAGCCTCCCAAAGTGCTGGGATTACGGGCGTGAGCCACCGCACCCAGCCAATTTTTGTTTTTAGAAGTGGACTCTTGCTATGTTGCCCAGGCTGGTCTCGAACTCCTGAGCTCAAGAGATCCTCCCACCATGGCCTCCCCAAGCCCTAGGATTACAGGCATGAGCCCCAAGCCCAGCCTGTGTGCAGATTTGTAAGAGCAATTAAACGTGCTCTGTATCCACACAAGCCACATCCCCCTCAGCAGCCCAAGCTGGGATGGCCCCTCCAGCTCAGCGTGGCCTCCCCCGTCAGCCTCCAGGCTCTCCGTGCCCCTCTGTTGCCATCATCAGCTGGCAGGTACCCCTCATTATCCCCCGAGCCACCTAGTGCCACACCCGGGATGAGCCCCGGCCTCCCCGACCCCCGGCCTCCCAGGCTCTGAATCGCCTCCACCTTGTTTTTCGTCCAGCTGCCAAGTAGCCTTTAGGACAGATGTGTGGTCGCTCCACAGACCACTCGCTGCCTGCAGACCAGGGCATAGCGCTGCCCTCCAGAGGCCCCAGTGGGAAGGGAGACCAACCAAAGACACCCCCCGCAGATGCCCACCCCTGCAGCTGCTCGCTGGCCAAGGGCATTGACACATCTGCCCCCACAAAGCTGCACCCTTTGGGCACAGATCCCCTAGCACGCACAACCCAGCACCTCCAAGTGTACCCATAAGTGCCTCAACACTCTGATGAAGACTCAGGGCAGAGAAGCCCGGGAGGCACCCCTGTGGGAACCACACCCATGGAGCTGCTCACCTGGAGAGCCCCCTCCCACAGCACCTCCAGCTCCCCCAGCACTCCGCCGACTCCCCCAGAACCTCCAGCACCCCCAGAACCTCCGGCTCCCCCAACTCCGCCTGCCCTGCTTGCTGCTTCTGCATCTTGACAGCGTGCGTCTCTGAGTTCCTGCAGGGCCGCTAGGTGCTGATGCTCCAGGAGCAGGACCTCGGCACCCACCCTGTCCAGGGCTTCAGTCCTCTCTTCCTCCAGCAGGCGTCTCTGATTGCACAGGGCCATGACCAGCTCCTTCCGTCCGGGAAACATCTAGACGTGCCACATCCCCACGCAGGGCACGGAAGGTGCACACACTCCACGTGCTTCCCATGACTAAATCAGGCTGTGGTTTGAAATACACACTTCATGTGTGATATGCAAGTTCCTCCTTTCTGAATATTCTTTCAGAACTTCGTTTTCTTTAAACCAAACAAACCAAGAAAACCTAATTTTAAATCCACAGCTTGGGAACAAGTGCTATTCTCCAAAGCATCTGTTTGCCCGTGATCAAAACTGAGAACGAAAGGAAACTGAAGCTGGCATCTGAGGACTCGCCTGGAGGGCCGCTCCCAGCGGCATCAGACCCCTTTCTAAATTTTGTCCAGAAAGACAATCTGGCTCCGGTTTCTCTCAAGAGGCACCTCCCAAGCTGGGAGCAGCAGCTCACGCCTGTCATTCCAACTACCTGGGAGGCCAAGGCAAGAGGATCTCTTGAGGCCAGGAGTTCGAGACTAGCCTGGGCAACACAGAGAGACCCCGCCTCTTAAAAAACAAAAAAGAAACAAACTCCCAGAACTCCCTGACATCTGGTGAAGACAAGGACAGGACAGAGGCCCAAGATAGACACTGACTGCACCGTGCTCATGACAGCAGTCGGAGCCCTGAACATGTTCTGCTTTCTAGGAATTCCCCCGAGATCACATGCTCAGCCCACACAAAACGGACAGCCTGAAACATAACATGAAATCCCCACAGCGGTTAAAGAAGGTTCCACTTTTCTCCTGTTCTCACACACAGCTGAAGGAAAGGAAACAATACGCCAGCGCTCCGCAGCCTCACAACCGTTCCCCACAGTCAGGAAGGAGGAAACCCTTGCGTGGCATGCTGGTATCGGGAAAAGAACACGTCCATCTTATCCGAGCTGGCAATTCCCTAGTTTATAATTTGGAATATGTACTTCCTAAACGTCTGACAAGGTACTGATCTGCCAGAACAGCCCTTTCTAACTGCCTCATCAGCTCTAGACCATGCCCCATCCACCCTGCAGCCAGGCCTACGCATCCCCTGCCTGCAGGGAGACAGGCCAGCCCCAGCGGCCCCACATGTTCAGCAGAGCACACTCATCTACTTCAAGGCGACGAGACCTCACTGAGGACAGAGAAAATGCAAGGTGTGTGTGACAAGACAACATGTGTCCTTTCCTGAGTCACAGGCACTGCAGATTCTGCAGCTGGGCGCCAGCCCCGGGCAACAGGGACTTCGCCAGAAAATCTTCTTCATGATAAAAACTTGAAGTGCCTGGAAAATGAACCATCACTGCTTTTTTTGGTTTGTTTTCTTAGACAGAGTATTGTTCTGTCGCCCAGGCTCGAGTGCAGTGGCGTGATCTCAGCTCACTGCAAGCTCCACCTCCAGGGTTCACGTCATTCTCCTGCCTCAGCCTCCCAAGTAGCTGGGACTACAGGCGCCTGTCACCACATCTGGCTAATTTTTTGTATTTTTAGTAAATTCGGGGTTTCACCGTGTTAGCCAGGATGGTCTTGATCTCTTGACCTCATGATCCGCCTGCCTTGGCCTCCCAAAGTGCTGGGATTACAGGTGTGAGCTATTTTTGATTTTTTTTTTTTTTTTTTGAGATAGGGTCTCACTGTTACAGTCCAGGCTGGAGTGCAATGGCACAGTCTTAGCTCACCCTGCAGCCTCGACTTCCTGGGTTCAAGCAATCCTCCTGCTTCAGCCTCCAAAGTAGCTGAGACTACAGGTGAGTGCCCCCACACCCAGCTAATTGTTTTTATTTTCTGTAGACCACAGGCTGGTCTCAAACTCCTGGGCTCAAGTAATCCAACTGCCTCGGCCTCCTAAACTGCTGTGATTACAGACGTGAGCCATCGTGCCTGGCCCATCACTGCTCTTGAAACGTGGCAAAAGGGTTTAATTACAGGAAACATCAATAAAGGAGGGGCCCAAGGCTCTGAATACACAACACGACAATCAGATCTACCCACAGCACCTGGAAACCAAGTCGGCTGCAGGAGTGCCAGTCAGCCTTGAGGAATACTCCAAAGCCCACAAAACCCCACACCAAGTCTGGGCCTTCTCACATACGAGAGCAAAGCGTTTAGCAAGGTGCCTGTGATCAAAATAACCCTTCAACTCGATGTTTTAAAGCTCAGCTCAGGCCAGGTGCGGTGGCTCATGCCTGTAATCCCAGCACTTTGGGAGGTCAAGGTGAGTGTATCGCCTGAGGTCAGGAGTTCAAGACCAGCTTGGCCAACATGGTGAAACCCAGTCTCTACTAAAAATACAAAAATTAACCGGGCATAGTGGCAGGCGCCTGTAATCCCAGCTACTTGGGAGGCTGAGGCAGGAGAATCGCTTGAACCCAGGAGGCAGAGGTTGCAGTGAGCCAAGATCGCACCACTGCACTCCAGCCTAGTGACACAGCAAGACTTTGTCTCAAAAATAAAAAAAATTAAAAAAAAAAAAAAGCCCAGTTCACAACGAGACCAGAAGTCCCCATTGATCTTGGCAGCCTGTGAGACATACAGACACCTGCATAGGCGCACACAGCACGCATGCAGACATGTGACACACGGTGGAAACACACGGGTGGGGGGAGAGGTCTGCCCTGAGCTGGGGCAGGGCCCGGGCGCCTTACCTGGTGTGCTCCCTGCAGCTCGTGACCCACGGTTCCGGCGAGCTCCGTGCTCGCTGCGGTTCGCAGGCCGTCCCGCACAGACTGTAGCTCCTCGTCATGTTTTTGCTTCAGTTTCTCCAACTCTTGAGTCAAAATTGTTTGGTGAAGAGAGTCCTGTTTCTGCAGTTGTTCCTCAAAGTCTGCTCGTAAGAGCTCTAGGGCCCGCCTGTGCTCCTCACGGATGGTCTGAATTTCAGACAGGTAACAGGATTCCAAAGAATCAAGGCTGGACAGATGTCCGGTCTCCAGAGCGCTGAGGTCGGCAGCATGTTTCGTCTGCAGTTCGGCCACACGTGCGGCCAGCAGAGCCCCCTGCTTGCTCTCTAACGAGGCCGTCAGCTCACCCAGCGCCGCCTGGTGTCTGGCCTCGAGCTCTGCCGTTACTGACAGGAGCCGCTGCTGGTGCCTCTCCTGGAGGAGCTGCAGCTCGCGGGTGTGCTGCTCCTGGGCCTCCCGCAGGAAGGCATCCTGTTCTGCACTGAATTTCTCGGTGATCTCTTTACGTTCCTCTAAAAACCTGTGGCAACAAAGTGAACACAGGACAGCTAAATACGCACCCAGAAAGCATCGATCCTTGCAAAAGCCAAGTCAGTTTCCTAAAGGAAACGCCACTTCAACTGTCAGGTCTTCATTTTGGGATTTTAACTGCTCTTAGTACTTCTCCGTCTGCCACCAGAAATAACAAGTGGGAGAGAGAAGAGGCCCCAAGCCAGAGGAGCCCAGAGGCCAAAGGCCAAAGCCATGGGAGTCACCAGGTCACAGACCACAGGTAGGACCCAGCACCCTCGGCAAGAGACGGTGCACACATATCCCCACCAGAGCCACGCACGGCAGGTACAACCGACCTCCTACTCACACCAGGGCGTCCAAGCCAGGTCCCAACTAAGAATCCCAAGGCAATCTCTGCTCCTCAGCAGGGAAGGGGCACTGCCCATAGGGGCCCATGGGAAGGGCGAGGCCTGAGAACCCCATGACAGTGAATAGAATCCCATGGCAGTGAATTAAGGAGGTGCAGGCGGCACTCAGGGCCAAAGACAGAGGAAGTGAGAATCCTCACAGAGGGACCTGCTCCCATCAGGAGGCCAAAGAGCCTGGAGCCGGAAAGTCCTGCAAAATGCAGAGGCCTCCTAAGGGCGCTGGTGACACAGGACAGATGGCAAGAGGCACGGGCACCTCTGCGCCTGGAAGCCTCTCCTGAGGGCCTCCTTGGCTCAGCTCCACCACGAAGCACAAGCGTCGCAGCCTGGGGAGAAGAACGTCTGCCCGTGTTCATGCAGCCCTGGCGACTCGAACGTGAGTTTCTCCAACCCCAGAGCAGAGCCCTGTGCGGCCCCAAGTTCTCCAACCCCCGAGTGGGGCCCTCTGGGGCCCCAAGTTCTCCAACCCCCGAGTGGGGCCCTCTGCGGCCCCAAGTTCTCCAACCCCCGAGCGGGGCCCTCTGCGGCCCCAAGTTCTCCAACCCCTGAGCGGGGACCTCTGTGGCCCTGAGTTTTCCAGTCCCCAAGCGGGGCCCTGTGCAGCCCTGGCTGCTGGGGAAGAGCTGGGTGGGGCAGACAGATGAGAAGGAATGGCATAGCCCAGGGACTGAGGCTCACAAAAAGGGGTCAGCACCAACAGGCAAAGAACCCAATGACTTTCTAAACCTCTTGAAAACTTCAGAGAAGAGTGTGTATGTTTTAGAAAAACATGCTTATTTTTAAAAATCACCTGTTTAAGTTAAAAAAAATATAAAAACGCTTAGTGGATAAACTCCATGTCCTTATGACACCTTATAAACGAGGTTTAGCTTCTACTGTTCAAATCTTAAAACACGCGAAGAACAACAGAGACGATGACTGATGTCCACCCTGGATACCCACCCAGGGAGTGCAGGCTTGGGGGGCTTTGAGGCAGCGACTGCCAGCCTGCCCGTCCGAGCACAAAGCTGTCTCACTGCCATCAGGCTGAAAACCTAGAGCGCCACACCTTGCTCCAGCTCCCTCCAGACCTTTTCGCCCAGTGGAGCCCACAGCGGCTCCTCCCAGGAGCCTGCCACCCTCTACCCTCCACGGTGTCTGGCCTCACAGGGACTGCAGATGGCATCACCACAAACCCACCTGCTCCGGGCCAGTATCACCTGCAGGGCACAGTCTTCCTTCATGTGGAGCGCGGCAAGCTCCCCGTCCTGGGCTGCGGGCGGCTCCCGCCCACACTGGCTGCAACGCAGGGCATCGTCTGAAGTGAGCTCCTGTTCCAGCTGCTGCAGGCGGCCCTGCTGCTCCGTCAAGGACCTCTCCAGATCCAGGATCTGGGCTGCCTGTTGGTCCTGAAGCTGCCTCATCTCAGCTTCTCGAAGCTCAAACTTGTTTATGATGGTCTGTTTCTCGGATTCAGCCTTTTCTCTCAGTTCAAGAAGCATCAACGTTAACTTCTCCTCAGCTTCCCGCTGTAGCTCCTCCTTCATAACTTTCCAGTCCATTTCTTTTTTTTGGAATTCCTGTTTCATCAGCTCAGTCTTCTGCTTGGCATTATTTAGTTCCTCCTGGTGGTCTTCAACTAGATTGTGTTTTACCTATAGACAACATAATTTTATTTAGGAGAGAAGACGTTAATGTAAAAGATTATTAGAAGAGACAACCCAAACCCACCCCTGAAGACAGGGCAACTTTCACCACACACACACCCATTACGCTGCACACAGCAATGGAAATGATTCTCATGTTAATGAGAACGGAAGAAACCTAAAGTCAACAAATCTAAAACTAAATAAAATGCCTCCTACATCCTGGCACCGAGAACTGACTATTCTTTCTCTCTGGAGCCCGCGGCCTTGACAGCAACCAACAACTGAAGGCAGCACACATCAGCCGAGCAAAGGCAGCAGCTGGAGTCTTCTTTGTTCGGACCGAGACCAGTGGCAGGACTCAGATCGGCCGCAGGCCTCCCTTAGGGGAATGCCAACCCCACAGATAGCGCTGGGCCACCTGCAGCAAGTAGGACCAGATGCCCAGGAGGCAAGAGCAGTTGATGGTGCGATGCTCCCGATCTGTACAAGGTCAACGCCAGGACAACAGAAGACCGTGAGCAAGGGGTGCATGAATTGCAAGGCACACTGTAAAGGGATCCTGTGCAGAGGGGGAGGAAGGAGAATGCAGAGAGCAAATATCTTAATCTTTTTTTTGAGACAGGGTCTGGCTCTGTCACCCAGGCTGGATCACAGCTCACTGCAGCCTCAAACTCCTGGGCTCAAGCAATTCTTTATAGAGACAGGGTTCTGCATGTTGCCCAGGCTGATCTTGAACTCCTGAGCTCAAGCAATCCGCCTGCCTCAGCCTCCCAAAAGTGCTGGGATTGTTATAGGTGTGAGCCACTGTGCCTGACTTCCTGACTTTCAAAGAGAGAGAAAGTAGGTCAATAAACTACTGAACTCATCAATAAGAAACAAACAGACAAAAAACCCAAAAAAGGCGTGCAAGATTGACCTCAACTCCTTATTTAAAAATTAAGTCATTAAAGTTTAGGGTCCTACTTCTGGTGATGCCTGTGCACCTCGCCAGACCAGCCCCCCAGAGACAACCACTATGAACTAAATAGAACATAACAAAAACCCTGAAGGCCGTGGAGAGACCCACAGGCAGACAGACCCTGGAGAGGGCTGGACGCTCAGAAGGAAGAAACGGCACTGGGCCATTTCTCTTTTTCCAGCCTTTCAGTAAGAGTAGGATCTGTCCATGCCCCACATACAGAAATCCAAAATCCCGCATATGAGCCAGAGGAACTGGAGAGTGAGGGAGGAAAGAGAGCTGCAATGCCTGGGAATGAACCCCCCGCAAATCTCAGGCTGACCCCGATCTGTACATGCAAGGGGCAGACTCTAAAAGCAGCAACCCAGCCAAAGCTACAAGAACTGAATTAACACCACGCCGCCACCCACACAGACACAGGGGAGCGTGCCCCTGGAGTCTGAAGTTAGCCAAGTGAACCGCCTGCTGCAACAGAACCCAGCCCTCTTCAGAGGAGCAGGACAGCACCCAGAGTCTCCAAATCTATCGCTCACGGTGTCCAGGGTGCGACCTGAACCCAGCCGACACATAAATAAGCAGGAAAACATGACCCCTGCTGAAAACACAATCAATGGAAACCATCACCAAAACCAAACAGATCATAAAATCCGCAGAGAAGGGTTTTCAACATCTTTAAACACTGAACGAGAAACCCGTCACCTCAGACTTTTTTATGCCACAAAAATACTCCTCAAGAATCTAAGCAAAATAAAGACTTTTCAAAAAAACAGAGAAAATGTGTGCAGCACAGCAAGAGATGCGAAGGAGATCCTTCGGGCTGATGGGAATGACGCCAAACACTCAGATCCTCAGGAAGAAATGAAGAGCAGCAGAATGGCAAGTATAAGGCCCTTTTCCCTCTTAATTTCTTTCAAATACCAGTTTTCCAAAGCAAATCTCCTGACACTGCAGGAGGCGGATGTGATGTCTAGTCTATGAGAAGTGCAGCACAGAAGACAAAGGGGAAGTGACAAAGCACCTGTGCAGTTAGAGGTCACAGTTTACACAGCGCAGCAGCGTGGTGACTCTCAGGAGATTGTACTGATAAAAGACAAGGTTAAGAATCTGTACTCTTTTTTTTCTCTTTTCTCTGAGATGGAGTCTCGCCCTGTCACCCAGGCTGGAATGCAGTCTCATGATCGCGGCTCACTGCAACCTCTGCTTCCCAGTTTCAAGCGATTCTCCTGCCTCAGGCCCCCAAGTACCTGGGATTACAGGCATGCACCACCATGCTTACCTAATTTTTGTATTTTATTTATTTATTTATTTTTTTTTTTAGTAAAGACAGGGTTTCCCCATGTTGACCAGGCTCGTCTCAAACTCCTGACCTTGGGTGATCCACCCGCCTCCCAAAGTGCTGGGATTACTGGCCTGAGCCATCGCGCCAGGCCAAGAATGTGTATTTTAATACCTGGAGCAACTATCAAAAACATAATGCAAAGAAAAATAATTTAATAGTCAACAAATACATTAAAATCAATTCTAGAAAATATTCAAATAACCCAAAAACACAAGAAAAAAGGAAAAGCAGAACCGTGACCACCAGACGCGCCTCAGAGAAAAAACGAACAGCGAAACAGAAGACCTAAATCAACCAATCAGTAATTACGATAAACATTAATAGACCCAGCACTGCAACTGAAAGGCAGAGATTATCAGAATGGCTTAAAAACTGCCAACTATGGCCGGGCGCGGTGGCTCACGCCTGTAATCCCAGCACTTTGGGAGGCCAAGACAGGCGGATCACAAGGTCAGGAGATCGAGACCAGCCTGGTTAACACAGTGAAACCCCATATCTACTAAAAATACAAAGAATTAGCCAGGCATGGTGGCGGGTGCCTGTAATCCCAGCTACTCGGGAGGTTGAGGCAGGAAAATGGCATGAACCTGGGAGGTAAAGCTTGCTGTGAGCCGAGATCGCGTCACTGTACTTCAGCCTGGGCAATGGAGCAAGACTCCACCTCAAAAAAAAAAAAATTGCCAACTATATGCTGTCCATATAAAATGCACTTTACTTTGAATAGATTAAAAGTAGGCCAGGTGCAGTGGCTCACATCTGTATCCCAGCACTTTGGGAGGCTGAGGCGGGTGGATCACTTGAGCCCAAGAGCTTGAGACCAGCCTGGGCAACATGGCGAAACCCATCTCTACAAAAAATACAAAAATTAGCTCAGCATGGTGGTGCGTACCTGTACTCCCAGCTACTTGGGAGGCTGAGGTGGGAGGATCCCTTGAGTCTGGGAGGAAGAGGTTGTAGTGAGCCAAGACTGTGCCACTGCACTCCAGCCTGGGCAACAGCCTGTCTCAAAAAAAAATAAAAAATAAAATGAATAAAAAAAGATACATCAGATAAAAATGCACACGAAGGTTAGAACGACTGAATTGACAAAAGATGAGGGTAGGTGCGGTGGCTCACGTCTGTAATCCCAACAATTTGGGAGGCTGAGGCGGACAGATCATGAGGTCAGGAGTTCGAGACCAGCCTGGCCAACATAATGACACTCCGTCTCTATTAAAAATGCAAAAATTAGCCGAGTGTGGTGGCACGTGCCTGTAGTCCCAGCTACTCGGGAGGCTGAGGCAGGAGAATCGCTTCAACCCGGGAGGCGGAGGCTGCAGTGAGCCAAGATCGTGCCTCTACATTCCAGCCTGGCAACAGAGTGAGACTCTGCGTCAAAAAAAAAAAGAAAAAAAAAACAGGAGGTGGATTTTTTTAGGAAGACATTACATCATAAATGTGTACATGTGTAACAACAGAGCTTCCACATATTCAAAACAAGAATTAAAATTAACAAGAGAGAAATCCACAGTCCTCTCCCCATAATTGATATAAGGAGGTAAAATGGTGGCCTGCAAAAATCATAAAGATACGAGCATCAAAAAGTCACTTGGGGCCAGGTGCAGTGGCTCACGTCTGTAATGCCAGCACTTTGGGAAGCCAAGGCAGGCCGATCAGTTGAGATCACGAGTTTGAGACCAGCCTAGCCAACATGGTGAAACCCCGTCTCTACTAAAACTACAAAAATTAGCGTGGCCGGGTGCGGTGGCTCATGCCTATAATCCCAGCACTTTGGGAGGTGGAGGTGGGTGGATCATAAGGTCAGGAGATCGAGACCATCCTGGATAACATGGTGAAACCCTGTCTCCACTAAAAATACAAAAAAAAATAAAAATAAAAATTAGCCAGGCATGGTGGCGGGCGCCTGTCATCCCAGCTACTCGGGAGGCTGATACAGAATGGTGTAAACCTGGGAGGCGGAGCTTGCAGTGAGCCGAGATTGCGCCACTGCATTCCAGCCTGGGCAACAGAGCGAGACTCCATCTCAAAAATAAAAATAAAAATAAAAAAATAAAAACAATTAGCCGGGCCTGGTGGTGTGCACCTGTAATCCCAGCTACTTGGGAGGCTGAGGCAAGAGAAACGCTTGAACCTGGGAGGTGGAGGTTGCAGTGAGCCGAGATTGCGCCACTGCATTCCAGCCTGGGCAACAGAGCGAGACTCCATCTCAAAAATAAAAATAAAAATAAAAAAATAAAAACAATTAGCCGGGCCTGGTGGTGTGCACCTGTAATCCCAGCTACTTGGGAGGCTGAGGCAAGAGAAACGCTTGAACCTGGGAGGTGGAGGTTGCAGTGAGCTGAGATCGCACCATTGCACTCCAGCCTGGGTGACAGAGCAAGACTTCGTCTGAAAAAAGACAAAAACAAAAACAAAACGAGTCACTTGGGCAAGTCTGTCTTCAGCCAACAGTGCCAGAGAAGGCCACACACTGGGGGCTGCAGGTGCCATCGGCACACGACCATCGGCCCACCTACCACCTGCCCGGCTCCCCGCAGGGCTCCACCCTTACCTCTATTTTGCTGGAAGTCCTTACCAACACCTGAGTTTACCAAACCGCTAGGGATCAGACCTGCAGGTCATCACAGCTTCCTATCAAGCTGTCTCTTGATGGAGAATGAAAATCATTCTCGGGGAGACATTCACAGGGAGGAGCAAAGGGGTGGGAGAAACAGGACACAAACAGAAACGAAAACACTGTCACAGCATGAGCTTGAGTCAGAACACACACGACAAGACACAGTAATTTCGGTTCACGTTAACTCCACTGCTCCAGCATGGGATGGGCCCCGAGCTGCCCCGGCTGTAAGCAAAGCCCATGGGCTATGTGGAGGCTGCTGTCTTGTCGCTCTACCATCGTTTATGACATGACAGTGACTTCACACTCGCAGACGGCGAGGAAGAGCGTCAGTGGGCACCTCTTCCACGGGGCAACACAGCACAGGAAGAGCCTGGGGAACGTGGATGCAATTTAAGACGTGGGGTGAGCATCAGAGGCCACCCACGTGCTTGGCACCCAGGCTCGTGCCTCTTCCCGGAGCCCTCTGAGGACACCTGGACAGTTTCCCTAAGAAATCTTGATTCAGAGGGCCAGGTATGGGGGCTCACAACTGTAATCCCAGCACTGTGGGAGGCCGAGGCAGGCGGATCACTTGAAGTCAGGCGTTTGAGACTAGCCTGGCCAACAAGGTCAAACACTGTCTCTACAAAAAATACAAAAATTAGCCAGGCATAGTGGCACATGTTTGTAATCCCAGCTATCAGGGGATCACTTGAAATCAGGAAGCAGAGATTGCAGTGAGCTGAGATCGTGCCACTGCACTCCAGCCTGGGCAACAGAATGAGACTCTGCTTCAAAACAAAACAAAACAAAGAAATCTTCACTTAGAACTTCAGTTTTTCCCCTGTGCTGACTCTGACGAGATTCTCTCCAACCACCACCCACTACTGGCATTGCCAGGAATAGTTTCAAGAATTTACAGGACTGTTGCCCTTACAAATGTGGCAGGTGCTGGGCTGTCCCCAGGACGCCCCTCCACACACGAGGACACAAGCCTTTCAAGCGGAAGAGGGCAAGGACTCAGGCGGGAGGCGCTGGGCTGTGGAGTCACGACTCACCTTCTCCAAATTCTCCTTCAGACGGGTTTCATGCTGCAACTTCTCGTACAAATTTCTGTTTTCTATTTTTAGGAGTTCAATTTCTTCCTTGAGTTCAGTCTGAAGAAGCGAAAGTTTAACCTTATGCTCAGTTTCCAGACCCAAGACTCTGGCTGCCACCTCTGTGTCGGCCTCCAAGGCCCTGTCCTGCACACCCTGGAGATGCACCCAGGGAAGCTCTGTGTGGATAAGGAGCAGGGAAGACAGTCAGGCCAGAGCTGGCCCTCGACGGAGCCCACAATCTGCACAGGCAGAACGGCAACCTATAAACGCTTCCGACAGCAGACACCATGGATTTTCAAGCTCTGTGCTGACTCAGTGATGAAAGCAGGCACGGCTCTCTCAAGTCTCCCCTCCCTTTTGGGACACCTCCATGCTGCCCCAGCACAGCCCCATCCTGAGTCACAGCGATGTCCTGGGCCCACACGACAGCTACACGGCCCGCCCAGGCCACTCCTTCATGTCAGGCTTGACAAGTGACCCTCCACGAGTTCCTGAGCCTCATGCCTGTGACCAGATGTGGGCACATGTGTATCACTCAGGGTCTATGAGGCAGCCACAAGGACAGGGCCTTGAGCTCAGGGGCCCGCCAGGGTTCCCGTCCCAGCCCCTCCCCCTGCTGCTCTGTGCCCGGGCACGCTACCCCCTGCATTTCTTCCTCTGCAGAAGAGGAAAAAGGCAGAATGGACTATGTGGTGGCCAGGCACCAGTGGCGCCGACAACCATGCATATCAAGGGGCGGCTGTGGGGACAGCTGTGGTGCAGGACAGACAGGAGTGAGAACCAGATGCAGGCACCGCTGCACCACCCCCCAGCTTGAAGGAGGCCCAGGCTTCTCTCACCTTGACCACAGCCCAGAGTGGAGTCAGACCACCCACCTCCCTACAGGACCCATGGCCTCAGCCCGTCACCCCCACCATGGACGGCAGCCCCACCATCAGCACAGCCCACGCCAGTGGCCAGGGCTGCCTGCCCCTCCTGGAATCCGTGAGTGGTCAGTGTCCGGCGCCACGGGACCACAACTGTGAGATGACTGAAGTTTCCTCTCCGTCCCCTTCTGACCCCACAGCCCTGTGTCCCGTGCCCTACCTAGACATCCCACCTTCTGACCCCACAGCCCTGTGCCCCGCGCCCTACCTGGACATCCCACCTTCTGACCCCACAGCCCTGTGCCCCGTGCCCTGCCTGGACATCCCACAACCTTAGCCTGACTAGGTGAGTTGCGGGAGCTGGGCCTGCTGGGAGCAGAGCAGGGTCCTGGAAAAGCCTCCCCTGGGCCCAGTGGACACACATTCTCCCTCCAAAGGTGAGTGGTCACCACGTCCATCCAGCAATCCCCATGACCCCCAGGGTGGCCACCCAGGTCAGACCTGCCCTGCTGGGGCGCTGGCCCAAGACCCGCGCTCCTGCCCAGCCAGTGATCCCGCTCTAACACCAAACCCTCATCAGGACACACTCTGTTGAGGTGCCAACCCCAGCAGAAGAGGTCAGAGCACTCAGCTGCTTCATGGAGGACTTGGATCGAACCCAGGCTCCCAGGCTCTCGGAGAACGTCCCCCAGACCCAGGATCTGCCAACACCATGGCAGGGCAGGAGGGGCCCACCTTGGCTGCGCCCTTCGGAGGGCTCCAGATGCCACCCCTGTCCCAATGCTGAAGTCTCCGCACAGCGTCTGTCTGAGACGTGCCCCTCATGCTGGATGCAGAGGGGAGACTCCGGTGCTTCCAACAGGTGCCTATGGCTTTCTTCTAACTCTGCCTGGAAGCATGGCAGGCTCTCCTACAGAGAAACCACGTGGACAAGCACATCAGTGAGCCGAGCTACCTCGCTGGCAGCTATAACCCTCAAAGGTGTTTCCCACTACGCACAAAGAAAACTCAAACCTCACCAGGTTCATGAGACCACACGTGGCGCCCCGGTGAACCCTGCCAGCCCACAGGCATGCTCACATGCTCTCCAGCCCACACCTGTCTCTTAGCCAGGCCTCCGGAAGACATACACGAACTGCTGGCACTGACAGGGTGCTCTCCAGGGGGGGAAGAGCCCTGGACTGGGCAGACCTCTCCTCAATGATCTCAGCAGCAAGGTCAGTAGGGCATGTGCCCCTCGCGTCTCTGCTGGTGGCCTCACATCTCAGGGCTGGGCTCTCTTCTCAAGGCCAGCCTCCTGTGACCACCGCCCACTAACAGCTGTGTCCTCATCACACCCACGCACAGAGGCAGGGGTTGGCTCTCAGGTGATACAGGGACACCTGGTGGGGCTGCCCACCCCACCTCTTCCCGGGTTCTCTCTCCAGGGCAGGGCCTGCTCATGGGAAGCTCCTGGCTGCCTGTTCCAGCTGGGCCCTTGCCCTTCTCTGGCGTTTCCCCCAGAGCCTCTTGTGCAGCGAATTCTGTCTTGGGGTCTGCTTTGCAGGGAACTCAAACTGGCGCACAGCCCGCTGCTACCCTGCCTGGCCACCCTGTGGCCTCCAGCAGGCCTGGGACCCCGCTCCAGTGAGGGCTCCTGGTCGTGCTCTCCAGCAGGCCCAGGGACCCTGCTCCAGAGTGAGGGCTCCTGGCCGCTGGGCCAAGATGCCCCGGGTTCCCTTCCACTGGTTCCACCGCACAACAAGCCATGCAGTGCTGCCCCTACATCTCCTCCCTGCCCTCCTGCGTGTCCTCTGGAGCCCGACGCTGGGCTTGCTCATGCTGCACAGCAAGCACTCCACAGTCACGTGTACTGGTGGGCACCACGCTGGCAGCACAGACCCGGAACACTATCATCCCAGAAGTTCTGCTTGGACAGCACTGCCCCACAGAAGTTAAAGGTGACAGAAATGGCAGCATGGAAGCAACTCAAGGAAGAAACACAAAAGCCAGCAGACACTGTGTGTACTCAAAGCAAAGACACAATTTCACACCCTTCGAACTGCCACTGTCAAGTCTGACAAACGCAGTCCACTGCAGGGAGGAGGCCCTGCCCAAGCCAGGGCATCCCGGGGCTGAGGGAGGGGCTGCGGCTCCCCCAGCCACCCCCTTTCCTGATCAAACAGTGCACGGTGAGGCCCACCGTGGAGCAGCAGTGAGGTCGGGGCAGCATCTGCAAGCAGTCTTCCTCCCCTGGACAAGGCGGGAGGGATGGAAACACAGGCTCCATAATGTGGAAGACGCCCGGCTGGAAGGTCAAGAGCACAGGACTCTCCCTCTTCTCAGCGTGCGGCCAATTACCTTATGTTGCTCAGGGTTGAGTTCATCAACGTGATCTTTTCTTCCTTTCTCAGGTTTCTCTTCTAAACCCACACAGGACAACCTGAAAGGAAAACATTTTATAAAAACTTTACACACATGTCCCTTTTCCATGTGTGCTCCATTTCCTCCCCAGGACCGACTGTTCACAGCAGAAGTGCCTCCTCATGCTTCCAGTCAAGGACGGGCAATGCCCACGTGCAGGGAGCCGTGGCAGTTGCAAAGCCAGGGACACAGCATAGGGACACGCAGACCTGGAATAGTGTGTGCCCGCCACTGACTCTCTCTCTCTCTCTCACGCACACACACACGACACACAGACCTGGAAGAGAGTGTGCCCACCACTGACTGACTCTCACACACACACACACACACACACACACACACACACACGACACACAGACCTGGACGAGAGTATGCCTGTCACTGACACACACACACACACCAGGGACACAGCACAGGGACACGCAGAGCTGAACAAGAGTGCGCCTGTCACTGACTCACACTCTCTCACACACACACACACACTAGGGACACAGCACAGGGACACGCAGGCCTGGAAGACAGCGTGCCCACCACTGACTGACACACACACACACACACACACACCAGGGACACAGCACAGGGACGCACAGGCCTGGACAAGAGTGCGCCCATCACTGACTCACAGATACGCAGGCCTGGAGGAGAGCGCCCCTGCCACTGATACACACGCACACACTGGCCTGGACGAGAGCGCGTCCACCACCAACATATACACACAGGCCTGGACGAGAGTGTGGCCACCACTGACACAAGCACACGCAGGCCTGGAGGAGAGCACCCCTGCCACCAACACACCCACGCACGCTGGCCTGGACAAGAGTGTGCCCACTGACTCATGCACACGCACGCGCTGGCCTGGACGAGAGCGCGTCCCCCACCAACACGTACACACAGGCCTGGACGAGAGTGTGGCCACCAACAGCTCGCGCACACACACATGCAGGCCACGCTCAGGTGCCCACACCTGTGTCATCTTTTGAGTCTGGACCATAAAATGTGTGTGTATAAAAGGCCATTGGTGCCCACTGGCACAAAATCACCAACAAAATGACCCCTGAACTCGGAGCCCGGCCCCTGTGCGGCCGGAACTGAGGCTGGAAGCTGCTTTGCGTACCCAACTTCCACGGGGTCCAGAAGAGCATCTTCACTCGCCCCCTGCAGCCTCTGCTGCAACAGGGTTAGGTCTTCCTGGTAAGTTTTCTCGGCATCCCTTAATTTCTTTTCAAAATAAATCCTCAGTTGCTCCAGTTCGGACTCGTGCTGGGTTTTTTCTCGCTGTTTCAGCTGCTCTAAATCTTCCACGTGAGAGGCTCGCGCCAGGAGTTGCTCATGTAGCTCTGCATACACAACGGAGTCAGGCAATCGTCTTAAAATGGGACACGCAGAACAAGCCAGGCGAGAGGCAAGAGCCTGGTTACCTGTGGTAACCAGGGGCAGAACTCGGAAAAGGGCCCATCCCAGAACCTGAGAGTGATGAGGGACCCCCGCGGCTTAGACTCGCATATGCCCCTGAACGTGGAGAGCTCTCTGGAAGCGGTGCCAAGAGCCACGGGGCCGGGAGCAAGAGCAGCCCTCGAAGTGGCAGGGATGTGGTGCGCACCGTCGGCAAGGAGACAGCCAATAGTCCTGCAGCCCCAGGAAACTGGATCCAGACCAACCTCAAACCCAGAAGCAGGCTCATCAGGTTGGCACACGACGGCTGATACCTGGATGTGGGCTATGGGGGACCCTGGACAGAAAACCCAGCTGCACCATCCTGGACTTTCTGTAAGCTAACAACTGTGTTGTTTTAGCCTACCAAGTTTGTGATAATTTGTTACACAGCAGCAGAGAAGCACCACGGACCCTAAGAGAACGTGTCCCCATGGCTACTGTGGTCAGAATACAGCCCGCTGCTCTACAGTGGCTGACAGCCAGCGACAGGCACCCCAGAGACGGCAAATCGGGGTTCTCTGCATGGGTCCCAAGAGGCAGGACAGAGACAAGCAGAGGACCAAGCCAGAGCCAGAGCCTGCAGGGACCAGCTGTGCCTGTGGCCCCTCCAGCTTCTCTCTTCTCCAGCCTCCAGTGACAGACAGACCCCCAGGGAAAGGTAAATCGACATGCTCTCGACATGGTCCCGACAGGGTGCAGGGCTGGGAGGTGGAGCCAGGCCTGGTGCCCTGGTGACAGTGGCGGTGTCTCCAGTTCTTTCTCCTCAGTGCTCTTTGTTCCAAATCCCACCACCCACAAGGACAAGTTGGGCCAGAAGGCTCTGTCTGCGCATGAGCACCAGGAGACACGCAGTGGTTCACCCTCCTGTCCTGTGGCCCTGGGTGCCAGTGCCTGAATTGGGCTAGGCCAGCCCCTGCTCTCAAGCACCATCCTCCCCGTGGCACAGAGACCTCTGACATGGAACAGCGGGCCTGGGGTCGGGGTCTCCAGAGGCGCTCAGCTATAAGGGGACACCGGGACCAGAGCTGCCTTCACCAAGTGGCCTGGAGAGCTGGGGCCACAGGAGCCTGGCAGCAGGATGTGGGGCACTGCCCTGTGACCCCAGACACCAGGTGAGCCCACTCTTGGACAGCACTCAACCATCCTTCCGAGGCAAACGCTCCGCACCATTGGTGCTTTCCTTAGACTTGAAGGCACCCCGAGAGTGTCAGTCTCGGCCTTCAGGGACGCACAGGTGCACGCCACTGCTGCACTGATCTGCTTAGCATAAAGCCAGGGCTGTCTCCCACAAAGCAAACCTCCACCTTCAAACCATGCACCTCAACCTTCAGGATGTCAAGCAGGTAAATCCACTTTTTTGTGTTCGCTAGAATTGTTAAATTCTGGCTTGGGGTTACAACAATGAAAAACGCACAGCTTCAGCTTTGGAGGATCTGAATTTCCCAACACAATTCCTTACCACTCAATTCCTGTCTACTGGTCCTGGCAGAATCAAGCTGGGACCACAAGCGCCTGATCTCTTCTTGTGACTGTGCCTTCAGGTCTTCATACGATGCCTGAAGATTCTCTAACTGGAAAAAGCAAAGCGTCCAGGTGAGACTCTCATGAGCTCAAGGCCCCCACCCCAGCAGTGGTTCTATCCCTGCCACTGCGATCCTCAGGGTAAAAGCTCACATCCCAAACCTGCAGCTCAGAGAAAGCCAGCCACAGCAGAGACCAAGAGAGCTCTGTCCATGACAAGTGGGATCAGTCAGTGCTGGCCCCATGAGGCCAGGCACTTTCAGAATCTCAGGAACTTCCAGGTCTGTTTGTCTCAGCCGAGGAGTTGGCACGGCCAGGTTCCATGCCGGCCGCAGCTGTGCGGTTTCATCTTGTGCACCTCCCTGCTTCAGTTTAGGGTCACACACACAGACTGCTGAATGGAATGGAGGGAGTCTTACTAGCCCACAGTACCCAAGACTACCAAACAGGGAGTTTCTCACTTTCAATACTTTTACATTAAGGAAGCAGGTCCCTCTTACACTGACACTAAATTTCTCTGTACGTTCAGCAAGAGCCCAGCCCAGCGCGGCACAGAGTGATGTCCTCCTGGGCAACGCTGCACCTGGGGCTGGCCTGTCCTTCTCGTGGAAACGGCCCCTCCTACCTTTCCCCATCACAAGCATCAGGACCAGAAGATGCTACCGGTCCCCTCTTTCCCATCTGGGAGGGAGAGCCTGGAAAGGCCCAGGGAGAGAATGGGGGTGTGGAGTGAGCCCCGACCTAGACTCTCTGCAGAAGAGGAGGGTATGTGGGCACCAGAGGCCCACTGGGAGACACAAGGGGCCCAAGACAAGCCTCTCTTAAGACTACAGACCCCAACTACTTCCGTATTCTCAGGTTTGTAAATCTTTCACACACCACGATTAACCCTATCCCTGATTTATGCTTTAATTTCTTTAACTAATTCTTGGGATACTCAGTTTGAGTCTCAGGTTTGTCAGGCCTCCAGTGAGGACCTGGCCACATCGACATTTTGACATGTAGCGTTTCATTAGAGAAGCATCTTGAATACACACAGCAGAAATGTTTGCTAACTTTTCCTAGGAATCTCATGTGTACTGGATTACCGTTAGAGGATGTGGCCTTACACTCCTACCTAGTGTTTGAAATTTGTGTAACTGTCTCAGGGACACCTGTAAAGAATATGCATTTCTAAGTATAAGACTGAACATAATTATTAAATCACTCTCGCAGACTATATGCTTACACTTTTATTCACCACTGACAGTCTATTTTTTAATTTATTTTATTTTATTTATTTATTTATTTTTGAGATGGAGGCTCGCTCTGTCACCCAGGCTGGAGTGCAGTGGTGCGATCTCAGCTCACTGCAACCTCCACCTCCCAGGTTCAAGCAATTCTCGTGCCTCAGTCTCCCGAGTAGCTGGGATTACAGATGCCCGCCACCACGCCTGGCTAATTTTTGTCTCAAACCCCTGACCTCATAATCTGCCCGCCTTGGCCTCCCAAAGTGCTAGAATTACAGGCGTGAGCCACTGTCCCCAGACAGTCTCTTTAAATTTAGTACTTAAGTTTTAGCAAATAACATAATATGAAATAGCCCAATTCCAAAATCTGTTAAAACACCCCTAATAGGCCGGGCGCGGTGGCTCAAGCCTGTAATCCCAGCACTTTGGGAGGCCGAGACGGGCAGATCACGAGGTCAAGAGATTGAGACCATCCTGGCTAACACAGTGAAACCCCGTCTCTACTAAAAAAATACAAAAAAAACTAGCCGGGCGAGGTGGCGGGCGCCTGTAGTCCCAGCGACTCGGGAGGCCAAGGCAGGAGAATGGCGTAAACCCAGGAGGCGGAGCTTGCAGTGAGCTGAGATCCGGCCACTGCACTCCAGCCTGGGCGACAGAGCGAGACTCCGTCTCAAAAACAAACAAACAAACAAACAAAAATCCCTAATATACCAAGTAATTAAAATAACGAAGCTGCTACCCACCACCAAGTAATTAAAATAACCAGGCTGCTACCCACCTCCAGCTGTTTTTCTTTTTCGCCCTCTTTGAACTTGAATTCCAAGTCTTCTAAACACCGGCAGTGCTCGGACTGCAGGTCTTCACGTAACTTCTCAATGGCTGCTTGATGTTGACTCTCCAGGTTCCTAAGGGCCGCTAGAAAGGTAAAGCAACGCCACTTGGTTTACAAGACATCACTCTCCTCAACGGCGACCTCAGTGACAATAATGGCGCATGCAGAGCGCTGCCACCCAGAGCCCCATCCTGGGCACCCCCACCTCCCCCGGGCCCCTCATTTGAGCCTCACATGCCTGATAGCGCAAGGGGACATCGCCTACCCAAGCCACCCACCAGGAGGGTCACATTGGAACACACAACCCTGGAGTTTCAGAAGTGAACACGCACAACGCTGCTGCTTTGATAATAATTTAGCAACTGAACATGCCATGAAAAATCTCTGAAACAAAGACCGGGAAGGTTTAAGGACCCTGAGAGGCCTGGGACCCCTGACGGCCACCAGCATGCCACACGTGCACGGAGCCATCCAGCATTCAGAAGCAAGGCATTTCGTGTGCGCAATGACACATGGTGACACGAACGACATTCCTTCCAGTACTACCCAGGAAAACGCAGTCCCACTCCAAACTTCCTCATTCTCATTACTCACATTCAGCCTGGTTTTTGTCTTGAAAAATCTTCTCCAACTCAGCTCTCTGTTCTGCCAATTCTTTCTGAAACTGGTTTTGTAAATCCTCCATTTCTGACTGATGCTTTGCAGACAATTCTTTGCGTAGATTTTCTAAACATAAATCTTTTTCAGATTCCCAGTCTTCCTTCAGGGTCTAATTTAAAAGAAAAAAAAATTAAAGTCAATAGTTGATTATCTGTGCTAAAAAAATTTAAACCACACAGTCAAAACCTATGAGCAGGCCAGGTAAAGTGGCTCATGTCTGTAATCCCAGCACTTTGAGAGGCTGAGGCCGGCAGATTGCCTGAGCCCAGGAGTTAGGATTAGAGACCAGCCTGGGCAACATAGTGAGACCCCATCTCTACAAAACAAATACAAAAATTAGTGGGGTGTGGTGGCATGCGCCTATAGTCCCAGCTACTCGGGAGGCTGAGGCAGGAGATCAAATGAGCCCAGGAGGTCAAGGCTGCAGTGAGCTGTGATTGTGCCACTGCACTCCAGCCTGGGAGGCAGAACGAGACCCTGTCTCAAAAAAAAAAAAAAAGAACTGGCAGTCATGGCCCCCAACTAAACTGCCCTGACAGGCCTGACACCCAGTCTCTCGCCTGAATGCTGGCAGGACAGAAAAGCAGAAGCATCCAGGAGGCAAGCAGTTGAGGAAAAGGGAGCGAGGATGACCCACCCTGAAACAGACCAGCCTCTGCACACAAGGACCACCCACCCCGAAACAGACCAGCCTCTGCACACAAGGACCACCCACCCCGAAACAGACCAGCCTCTGCACACAAGGACCACCCACCCCAAAACAGACCAGCCTCTGCACAC